AGTTAGAGGTAAGATAGCCAGTTCCTCCGTGGTTGAGGATTCCGGGTGCAGCTCGCTTCCACCTTCGGCCTGATCGTCACTTACCATCAGGTGAGATACAGGACAAGAGCTTCCTCGTTGTGGATAAAAAAAAAGTGTGGGCAGGCCTCCCACTAGGTAGATCAACGATCAGTCGACGCCATTTTGTCTGAAACGAACGAACTAATAAAACTTACACGTGTGTCGAACACTTACTATTTGTGATGATTAGTATGAAAATAACACTTTATATTACTGTTCAACACGTGCGTATATTTTTTATTAGTAAGGGGGTAAAAGTGGTTCTAGTACAGTTTTCTACTGTTCTGGAACCACTTTTACCCCCTTATCGTTCTGGATGTCATAATATTTTAAGCCGTTGGACGTCCACTGCTGAACATAGGCCTCCCCCAATGACTTCCATACTGACCGGTTGGTAGCGTTCCAGTTCCTAACAACCTGGATGTAATGAAATACGACTTTATGGCCAGCGTGTGGGGTGTAGGTCAAATCCTCCAAGTGCTGGTAAAAATGATGATGATAGTTTTTTTTATGTGACAGGAGGCAAACGAGCAGACGGATCACCTGATGGTAAGTGATTACCCTCGCCCATAGACACCCGCTGTCTCAGGGGCGCTACAGGTGCGTTGCCGGCCTTTAAGGTGAAGATACGCTCTCCTCTTGAAAGCTTGCAGGTCGTATCCGTCCGGAAACACCGCAGACGACAGTAAATTCCACAGTTTGGTTGTACGGGGCAAGAAGTTATGATGTTGTTGTGAAATTTGTAATGGGGTTTGTGAGAACTTGAACTTTAAGCATATAAAATTAAGTAAAACCATGAACAAATTAAACAGTATGCATATCACAGCTACTAAGCCTATCAGTTCATATCTCACGCATAAATAATCAATTTGTGTATAACGAAATAATACAAAACATTACATAGCTGTGCGTAGAGTTCGTTTACGCACGTTTTCATTATCATCCATTGGTATTTGCAGGCTTTATACTATCTGTATTAAGGTTTACTATTACAGAGGAAATACGAGGTTGTGTCACAAATGTGTATAAATAGATACAACAGTGTTAGAACCATCATTCAATTCTAGTTTCTTGGAAAGAAAACAAAAAAAAAATCCAAAAAAATGAAATCCTTCGCACTTATTGTTGTCCTCGCCCAAGTGGCTATCTTCCAGGTAATTATTTTATTTTATTATTCATAGCTATATTTTGTTTATTAATGAATAGGTACTTCAACTGTAGTACAGGTTTCTCGCCACTCCAGTTCTCTCTTAAATCGTACCCTGTCCACATAGTGCATAGCAATTTGTTTTACTGAACATTGGATTGTGAAAGAAAGTAAATAGATGCTTTATTATTATAGTGTTATACAGATGTTACGTCTTTATTTACAAAAAACAGATTTTTTTTTAAACTAAGGCAAACTTATATATATACAGATTAGGTAGTTGTTCTCGCAATGGAAGGTACAGGGGTCGATTCAGGGTATAGGGTACAATTACCCCCTCCCTGTAATAGTAAAATATTTGCATTATTTGGATTTGCATTTGGAATTCAATTTTGGAACAATGACACTAGATTAGAATCTTGGATGTGAGCTTTACGAATGATAAAGCAAGTGAAGCATCCATCAATTTAGTTAATTCATTTAGTTAGGAGTTTTGGGCTGACGCTGTGTAGGTTTGTTGTCGACACGACAAGAAGAATCACCATTAATTTACAAATTAGATCGTTAAGTTATTTTAGTTCTAATGTTTTTACTGTCACTAATCTACGATTTCTTTCCAGACCTACGCCCAAGTTCTGCGCCCGGCGCCAATTCTTCCATCCCCTGTGGTCCCCGGACCCTGCGGCTGCGGATCGTACCTTCCTTCCCCAGTCATAACCTCTCCTCAAATCGTAGCTGCCCCTCAACTTCTTGCCCCACAAGTCCTGGCCCCTCAAGTCCTGAGCTCCCCACAACTGCTGGTGCAGCCCAACTCTGTCGCTAACAACCTTGCTGACACTCTTTCCTTGTTGACCGTCAGCAGCCTTTTGGCCGAGTCCCTTCCTCTAGGGTACCCCAATGTGGTCAGCGTACCCGTGCCGTCCCCTACAGTCTTGGGAGGATGTGGTTGCGGGTACAACTACCCCCTGTACCTGTGAATTCAGTGAATTAATAGTTTCTTCGGTTTTTACAAAACTGTGCCTTTAGCAATTGTTTTATTTTATTTCTTTGGTTTCTTAAATTACTTTTTGTTGTTTTACTTTTATTTCAATCAAAATTTTATTTCAAATTAAAACTTAAAATTAAAAAAAAAATGATATTTCCAAAAATGTATACAGTATGTTGTTTATAATACTTATTTATTTATGTAAATGTATTATACATTATTTACTCTTTGCGTTATTTATCTATTTGGTTTTTGGTGTTAATATTTACTTATTTTTTAATTTTAATTTTGTTATTAGTATTTTATCTAACATAATATTTCAATCCGACAAAATTGTATGTAAGTATATTGTTCACTTAACAAACAAAATTACTCAATTAAATTATAAAATAATATTTATTATTTAAATTGTATTGTAATGTATTTACGCCATAGTTTTGTAATAAACTAAAATAAAGAAACAATCAGTGATAATGCTTGTAATTTTATTTTAATAAGATAAGGCACGTTCTTGTGCGCTGTTACTTAAGTCTCCTTTCTATCTAAATCATCATCATTAGATCATTTAATTTTAGTCTCTATCTAAATCATCATCACCAGGTCATCTAGTCTCCACTGCAGGAACACGACCCTCTTTAATTTACCAGAGGCAAATGGAGGATTTGGCCAACATTCTCTGCTAGCCACACGGCTTAGAATATACCTACCCTACATTTTTGGAAGGAGTTTATAGAGCTTAAAAGGCTTGAAAAATGGTCGATGATTCATTCAGTTACAGATACAGTTTACACTAGTTTAGGAGCCAGGGTTTTAATATAAAATGTTACAGTATACTTACATCAATAAAAATATTCTTATTCTTATTCATCCGTCTGATTTCGGCCATGGCGACCACTCCGACTCCTAGCTAAATTGTGTTAAAATAAATAAAACAAATTCAGATTAGTACCTTTTATTTTAAACTCAAGACTGGCTTAATTTAATGACTTCGGTTTTGATGGATTAGTATCAGTCCAGAACAGCAACACAAGCATTTAATTTTGTTGTGGGAAAATTCACGGACAAGAAAATTACAAGTATGAAGTTTCACATAACTAGTTCTTAGACTATCCTACTAATATCTACTATATAAATGTCGGGTTTTCCTCCGTTTCCGGTTTTGCATTCGTTGGAAAGGTCTCGGGCTCCGTGAGGTTTATAGCAAAGAAAATTCGGGAAAAGGGGGTAAAACGGGATCCACGCGTACGAAGTCGCGGGCGGCCGCTAGTGTATTATAAATGCGAAAGTTTGTATGGATGTCTGGATGTTTGTTACTCTTTCACGCAAAACTATTGAACGGATTTTGATGAAACTTTACAGTATTATTGTTTATAACCCAGAATAACATAAATAAACTACAATTTATGACGATCTGTGACAAACTAAATTTCACGCGGGTGAAGCCGCGGGCTAAAGCTAGTAGAAAATAAATCTTCATAGACTTGGAATGGAAATACCAACGTTTAACGTCAAAAATTATCGTTTTCAGGAGTTATTTTTCAGAGAATCACTTACTCGTATGATAATACTACTACTAAGTAAGTATGTGCTATAAAAGTTGTTAATTTTCTGCATATAGGCCTTTTATAAGCCCTTTGCACATTCAAGTACATTAATATAATACTTTTAAGCCTACCACTGCTTCGGGGCAATAATATTAAATGGGCCAGTGCTGAGAGGAAGCAGCGCAAGAAACTCAGTCACCACAGTGTCAGCCTCTCTTAGGTAACACCTTTTTTAATTTGATTTTTTTTCTGGTATAAAATAGAGTTCCGTAGCCAAAAAGTTCCAACGGAACGATGTAGGTCATTGAAAAATGTATTTATTATTTTTCCGTTAACGTGCAGGCTAGGCGTTCCCTAACCTATTTAAAACGCGCCCCCTTTCGACCATTAAAAAAATCCGTGCCCCCCTCCACTCGGGTACAGCTCCACGTATTATTTACTAGCTTTCCGCCCGCGGCTTCGCCTGTGTGGAATTTTATCCTTTCCCGGGACTCAAACTATCTCTATACCAAATTTCATCAAAATCGGTTCAGTGGTTTAGGCGTGAAAGCCAGACAGACAGACTGTTACGAACGGCCTCTTTTGATAGTTTATGGTTTATACTTTTATATTTTACCTTAATATGTCAACTTGTCATCTCTTCTATATCCCTGTGATCCTGTATTTTCGTTTAATCCTTTTATTAAATCGCTTTCCTTTCCCTGAGCCTGGGTATCATTTTATCACTAATTCTTAATTGAACATACAGACAGACAGACAGAGTTACTTTCGCATAAATTGGTCGTATCGAGCAGTCTGGAATGTATTATCTCAGTGGTCGTAGGTTTTTAATACTTAACTATACAGATGGCCCTCATCTCCCTTTAAAGGTCTTAGCGCCTCCCCTGGGGGGCGCGCCCTCCACTTAAGGAAACCCTGCTTTATTGCTTGTGCTACGAGTTTACCACATCAGTCCAGCGGCGGCGGAGTTCGAACCCGCGTTCCTCGGATCTCTATCTGACCAGTACACCGACATTATTGGGCTATCATTGCTTGAGATATTCTTTGAGACTTTCCCCCGGGACACACTTGACCTTCACTGGTTGGGTTGTAGGCGGTCAAGCTGTAGATCCTGGCTACACAGGAGTTGCAGCAGTGGGAACGAGAGGTGGGAATAGTCCCGTGTTTAGTTGGAATGGGTTTTTGTAGTAGGACATGCAAGGATGCATTAAAAGGTAAAAAGAAATCCAGTCATAAATTCAACAAAACATTTATTAACTAAAACCTAATTAAAACAAGCGCACTCGTTAGCGAACACATTAGCGGTGTCCACATAAGCGGTACCATGTGAGGGCACAGAGCCATCTACTGCGATATTGCCGAAAACTGGGAACGTGCCAGAGATCTTGATCATACCACCCACTGGCATTTCCCCGTCCACTGACATCTCTCCTAGCTGCAGACTTGGGAGAATCTCGGTGACCAATGGCACGTTTTGGGCACTGGCAGGCCAGTTGGGCGAGAAGCCAGGAGCTACCAGCTGAGATGCGGTACCAGATAGGACTGTGCTGGGAACCACGCTGGTGGTTACTGGTACGTTTGAGCTTTTCGATGTGGGGAAGCTTAAAGCTTGCTGGAAGAAAATGATAAATCATTAGTAACAAAAAAACCTTAAAGCGTGCAGATCGAGGTCGCTGGCGCGATCAAAAGCCAATGACAGGTCGCGCGACCTATGACAGTTCACGCGACCTGTCATTGGCCTTCGATCGCGCCGTGATCACGCCGGCGATGGCGTTCTGCACGCGTTGGTGTGGTTGAAGCTTAACTTCGAACGCCTATGTTCTTCTGATTAATTTCGTTGCGGGTCCAATGACAGTACTTTCTCCCGGGACTAACTTGACCTTCACTGGTTGGGTTGTTGGCGGTCAAGCTGTAGATCCTGGCTACACAGGAGTTGCAGTGGTTATTATCACGTGGTACCGATAAAATGTCAATGAAACCCAACCAGTGAAGGCAGAGTTTGTCCCATGGGAAAGTTGTTGGGACCGCAACGAAATAATTAGAAAATAATAAAAGGAATTCGAAGTTAAAGGATCGACTTATAATATAAAATGCTTCTTGCCATAATTTCGTTGTTTTTTATTCTTTAATATTTTTAAATACTTCTTAATTCATCATAAAATATACTAAAATATAAAGCTGATTAATTTATCTTTTCTTTGTTTATATTGTTTTTTTTTCTTACCTGTAACAAAACAGCTTGAAGGCAGATCAACGCAAGTACTTTATACGCCATCTTGGATTAGATATGACTGACACTGACATAGATACCGGCTCTTTTTATAAGCATGAACATTTTCTTCTTATCTGCAGTAGGGTAATATTATCACAGTTTTTGTAATAACTAACATAATATTGGTAACGATTCGGCGAAGTTCTGGTAACACTGATTATTTATTTGTGAACAAATGCATTTTGCAATTTGAATTCGAAATTGCATTCGGTTCAGGTGCTCTTTGCGTGAATTGACAAAATACCAGCAAAATTATAGTTCACCTAGTTGTTTTTTAAAAGATTATATTAGCAACTAACGGCTGTCCGCGACTTCGTACGCGTGGGTCCCGTTTTACCCCCTTAGGGGTTGAATTTTGCAAAATCCTGTCTTTGTGAGCACAGGCTACGTTCTAAAAGGAACCTCCTATCTCCATGCAATTGAGACTCCTAGCACTTACGTAGTTTCTGAGATTTCGTGATGAGTGAGTCAGCGACCTTTAGCTTTTATAGATATTACTAGCTTTCCGCCCGCGGCTTCGCCCGCGTGGAATTTTGTCTGTCACAGAAAAACTTTATCGCGCGCGTCCCTGTTTCAAAAACCGGGATAAANTCATCATTCATCACGTAATGCAATCTGGGGGGAGAGGAGGTCTTGAAAAACGTTACAATGCGTTACAGTGGCGAAAGGGCGGTCGATTTCAAGTTTTTAAGCAGAAGTACTTTGTAGTTGGTGTTGTTATTTGTAACTTTATACCGTAATGTCATCAAAGAGAGAGTTTGGCATCTTTGGCATCCCCCCCTCCATGTCCTTGCCATGATCACAAATTATTGTGTTCCTACTAAATTTCTTTTAAATCGGTTCAACGATTCTTGAAATAACACCATTTTATAAAATAATTGGTCACATCATCATAACGTGATCAATTTTACGATTTGGCCACAATATAAATGCATATTAGTGTTAAATTTGACTTATTACTTATTAATCAATAAACTTAAATGAGAAAAATTCAATAAAAATAAAGAAAAGATACCAATTGAAATAATTATAAAATTATTTGTTTTCACCCGGTGTAAACACCCACGGGTGGAATGAAACGGGTTTTTATTGGGTTTTTACCCTCATGTGGGTTTTTACCCGGGTGGAAACCCATCTCTAGCGGCCGCCCGCGACTTCGTACGCGTGGATCTCGTTTTATCCATCACCTTCATCTATCTTACGCGGTTCAGATTTTTTCATACAATTTTTTTTCCCGCTAACTCCCGTTCCCGTGGGAATTTTGCAATATCCTGTAGTAACTAAGCTTTAAGTTTACTAAGGTACCTGCATGCCAAATTTCAAGCTTCTATCTTACGCGGTTTAGATNTTATAATATTAGTTGGGATTGGGATTGGGATAGTTGGGATGTAGATTTCTTTATGCATAAATAGGGATGTTTCCTGGGTCAAAAAGCAAGAGTTTTAATTAGTCCGTCAGTTACTTATCCAAAAATACTCTACACGTATTATTCAATTTTTCAAACTAATGAAAATTTAAAGAGATAAAGCGCGCCAAAGTTCAATGCGTGCATAAAAGTGCCGCACGTTGTGACGTCGTGCGGAACTTCAACGCACCATAACTATGTAATTATTTGTTAGATTGACAAATAAAAATATACGTGTCTAATATTTTTTGATATTAAACATGACGGACTAAAAAAAATTTTTTAGGAAACTAGCCTATTACTAATAGTCCCGTTAGCCCTTTAGAATAGAATAGAATAGAAAAAAAATATTTCCAGAAAAATACACTTTAGTTACATAAGTTTACAAAGTAGGTATACTAATATGATTTAGTTCTTACATACGATTTCTCGGAACAAATAGGACGATTCCACTTTTGCTTGCGAGTGTAGTTGAAATCTTAGATAAGTAGGTAGGTGTTGGTGTGGCGTGTAAATAGCCACACCAGGAATAAAAAAATTGCGGGGAAGAAAGATGATGCGGGGGTCGGCTGGTGACTCCAAACAACTCAAAAATACAGCTGCATAAAACGGAAACCACCAACCTGCGGATCAGAAGACGGAGACCAGGCTTCGAGGGTCGACCCGTCGATATTTCTTGCGGTTTTGATTATTTCAATATCTTCAGCAAATATTCTGCGGATTTTTCACATTGACTTAGTTGACAGACGTTCCAAGACAACATAGAGTTTTTTCTTAATTTTCCATAGAGGTTTTTCGCGAAGGTTGGCTCCTGCGAAGGTGCTGGCCCCGAATCCGATAAACAGATTAGTGGGAAACCATCTCATGCAGCTAGATAATTTGAGAGTTGGAGCCACCGAAGAAAAGGAAGAGAAGAAAGTTGGACATAGGCCCAACCAGGTATAGTAAACAGAAAGAAATAAAGATAGAATAGGAAAAGTATTTATTTGAAGCAAGTACATCCTTACAAAATAAAATAACAAGTAAAACTAAACAACAGGATTATTTAAACATACCCGCACTTAAAATGTAATTGTATTATAATTAATTTAATTGTCTTTGTATTCTCTCTGTATGTAGATTTTGTAAACGCTTTTGAAAAAATGAATGTCTTTAACGGTGAGTTTCTCGAATTTTCTCAGTTTCCATACAAAATCTTTGATGATCCATTGGGCGTTGAAAGCGATGTATGACAGCAATCCTACGATTGTGAACATAAACGGGAAGACCATGGAGTCTTCGAAAAATGTCAGCAACTCATACATCCATACTCCTAGGTCCACGTACTTGGTGTAGAGCGTCCTGAAAACATTCATTAATTTACTTCATTATCATCATTTCAGCCATAGGACGTCCACTGCTGAACATAGGCCTCTTCCAAGGATTTCCACAATGGCCGGTTGGTAGCGGCCTGCATCCAGCGCCTTCCAGCTGCTTTTATGAGGTCGTCGGTCTACCTGACCAACTTAACTAAAGAAAATTGGATTTTGATTATAGGCCTTGAGTCAGTGCCTGTATGGGAACGGCTCGGGAGGTATTTTTGTGACGGCTAAACGTCAGCGAGACTTCAGATCTTCAGATGTGTATGTTCGGTCACGTCAATGTCAATGTCACCTCTCCCGTGCCGCTTCTACACCTCAGGCTATTCCTGTAGTTTTTTTTCAGCATAGGAGCGTACACCCTCTCTACTTTCTTTCGTTCGTTTCAGCCAAATGACGTCCACTGCTGGACAAAGGCTTCCCCCAAGGATTTTCACAACGACCGGTCTTGCGTAATTTAATGCTTCTTTAATAGAAAGAAAGAAAGAAAGATACATTTATTACCTATAATGGACATCACACAAATACAGGCAATTACATAGACATGACAGTGGCACATAATAATGGAAGAAGTAAAAATAAAAACAAGAGTAAACTGAGCAGTGCCACCCATTCACCAACAAGATGCACACTGCAACGGGACCCCACTCAGCATATGCCGTGGCCCACGGTGACGAAGGCCACGGCGCTGGTTTTCAGTGTGCCCCATGCCGAGTGAGGGTCACGGACCATTGGCAAAATAAATAAAATAGTAAGTTGCATAAAATTGTCGTAATAAATTCATGAATACTTACAGAAACACAAACCAAGCGTTGATCGAAATAGAGTAAATTTTCTTAATGTCACTCCTATTTTTCGGCTGGTCTTCGGGTAAATGTATCAGTTCCCAGAAGACGTAAAGGATCGGTAGTCCATGGAATACAAAGTTTCCAAATGGGGGCATAAGTATATCAACTACAGCTGGGAACACTAACTCCCTGTCGAAAAAATATACTGGCCAGAAGATGCTCATGGCCTGAAAGAAAAAAGAAAAAATTAAAAAGTGAACTGTCATCAGCAGGGCTACTCCGAAACGCTGTTTATATAGTTTCGAGTCTATTTGTCACTGTCGCTCATGCTCATCTCGCTTTGCGAGAGAAGGATGGCAACATTCGAAAATTTGGACAACGTTTTTCAGAGTAACCCCGTAGTCCGTTGATAACAAAAGAATCTCTTTTCAGACAAGCCTAGGCGCGAACATCGATTTTTCGTCGGCCGATAGTTTAATCGGGCAGTTGATCAGTATGGGCATGTATGGAAGTGCGCACATTACACCGATTCGATTTGGCCGATTCTTCACACAATTTAAAATCGGGCACAACTATCGGCCAACTAAAAATCGGTGGTCTGCGCCTAGTCTAAATTGTAGCTGCTTGTAGGCCGAAGTTTAAGGCTGAAGACCGACTTCGACGTGCGACTCTACCATCATAGGACATTTCGTTTGTTCCAAAATGTCTTTCTTTCTTTCAAAATCTTTCTCAGTCTTTATCATTTGACCAAGGTGATGTATTTATTATAATGATGATGATGATGAATTCTTACCACCATCTGAGGGAACACGACTTCGTGGAACCATTTGAACCGGAATTTCTTTACACCATGAGGCACTTCCTTGTCACCTCCCTTTATTTGAGCCAGGTCACATATTAGAGACACTACACCATAAATATTCAAGAAAACCTGCAACAAAATAAGTTATTATGTATTTTTAAAATTGAAAAGCAAAGCCGTTTGGTGTAGTGGTTCAGAACGGACTACTATGCCGAGAGGTCCCGGGTTCGATATCCGGCCGGGCAGAAATTGAAATGATTAATTTTAATTTCTGTGACGGGTCTGGGTGTTATTTATTTATTTAAACTTTAATGCCAAAATAAATTTGTACATAAGGCGAACTTAATGCATTAAAACATTCTCGACCAGTTTACCTTTGGGTTGAGCAGAAAAGAAATTTGTTTGGCGGTACTATGTATACTATGTATGTATTTAATAAAAAAAAGTATATAAGTATTATATCCGTCAAGCTAGCACCCATAACACAAGCATATTAATTGCTTACTTTGGGACTCGATGGCGCTGTGTGAAATTGTCCAAAAATATTTAAAAAAAATGTAAAACGGTTTCAAATTGATGAATACGTGCTTATCGTGATAATAAAGTTTGAACTGATCATGTTACATAAGTATACATGTATACTTTACATATTTTATGTATAAATACATCCGAAAATTGTATATTGAGTGCGTCAAAGCGCCAATAATAAATAGTCGACAATCAAATTTTAAAATCGTAAATATGACGTCTATTGTTATATTTTTTTACACAAACAAGCGTAAAACAAAAGAAAAATAACTAAATCATTAGAATTCATGAACATACTAATTCCGGGGCAACTAATAATAAGAAAAAACAATAATAAAGCGAGTGTCATAATAATAACTACTTAACAGCGTACAAGAAAGAAGAATAGTAAAAACGTACAAAATGAATAGTAAAAATATTTGTGTACCTTTACACAACGGAAAAACAAGCCTGTGTGTTTTAAATTCTTGTTGACATTTATCACAATTTTCTGATAAATATCAACATTATAATGATTACTAGCGGCCGCCCGCGACTTCGTACGCGTGGACCCCGTTTTACCCCCTTAGGGATGGAGTTTCGTAAAATCCTGTCTTAGCGGATATCTACAACTCTACACCCTATATGGAACCTACCTAGTCCTGCGAGGGTACTAGTGTTTTACAAATAACCCTGTATATTCATAGGGGTTCGTTCCCAAGGCAATCCAGTTTCGCTGGATTAGTGGTGCAGGATCACGCAAAACTGAACTGTCGTGTGAACATTATGACGTGTGATTGAAATTAGGATGGATATTATGTAGTTTCGGTTGTGGATACGGTTACGGATATAGGAATAATATTATACCGGTTTCGGTTACGGTTACGGATATTTTTTTATTTCGGATATCCGAAAGTTTCGGTTACGGTTACGGATATCCATAACATCCCTGATTGAAATTCGAATTACAAATTCGAACGGATCGGTTTTTTGCGGGACTGCAAACGGGATGTGCGTGTTAAGGTCATAGCAGACTTATCAACTCGGAAAGGGATCAACACCGTATCGCTTGTCACAAGCTGTCATCGTCTTTCGCGCGCTGTCAACCGCGAGGCGAGGCGTTTACGTTACGGTGCGGATAAGTGTGCGTTACAGTATGTAGTTCACACAAATAATACTGACCGCCTCACGTTGATACGGTTACGATCCGTTTCCGGGTTGATAAGTGTGCTTCTTTGGGATTATTTTTATACTCACAGCATTCCACACAGTATTGTACCGGGCACTTAAATCTTTAAACACCTGTAGTTCCGGATGGGTCGGCAGGTGTTTATCCATCTCTATGTGTGTGTACAACGTGGATAGAGCCAACCATGTCAAAGTGACTGACGTGCCTATAACCCGATGGTAGATGTATTTGTCCATTCTGAAATTACGAAAAAAAAATTAAAAATTTGAAGCCACGATAGCCGGACGCCTCACTATGGGACTTATTTAATAAATAAGCTCAAAGTTGCACAGCGTGCTATGAAGAGGGTTATGCTCGGTGTTTCTTTACGAGATCGAATCAGAAATGAGGAGATCCGTAAACGAACTCACGTCGCTGACATAGCCCGACGATTAGCAAGCTGAAGTGGCAATGGGCAGGGCACATAGTAGGTACGCAGAACTGACGGCCGATGAGGCAGCAAGGTTCTGGAGTAGAGGCCACGTACCGGAAAGCGCAACGTAGGACGTCTACCCACAAGGTGGACCGACGACATCATAAAGGTAGCAGGAAGGCGCTGAATGTAGGCCGCTACTAACAGGCCTTTGTGAAAATCATTGGGGGAGGCCTATATTCAGCAGTGGACGTCCTATGGCTGAAATGATGATGATGTAGATGGTGAAGAGGTCGGACTCAATATCCGAGGAACGCGGGTTCGAACCCCACTGCCGCTCGACTATTGTGGTGAGCTCACTCGTGATACAAGCATATTTTAAGCTTAGTAGGTATGAGGGGCTAACGGGACTATTAGTAATTTGCGAAATACCTACAAATTAAAGAAAAAAAAAAACAAATAGAAAACTGCCATCAATTTACGAAAAAAAACCGGCCAAGTGCGTGTCGGACTCACGCACAAAGGGTTCCGTACCATTGATTTATGAAATTAAAATTATTATTTTTTTAATTTAAGTTATTTGTATGAAAGATTACGCGGTAATAAGCGGTTTACGATTTACGAGGTATTAAAAAAAACAACTTATTAGATCTCGTTCAAAACAATTTTCGTTGGTAGTTTTTATAGTAATGTACATCATATGTTTTTTTTAGATTTTTCATTTTCTTATTTTAGAAGTTAGAGGGGGGGGACCGCCTTTTTTCCACTTTGGAAGCGTCTGTCACGCAAACTATTCGGTTTAGAAAAGAATTATTTTAGAAACCTCGATATCATTTTTGAAGACCTATCCATAGATACCCCACACGTATGTGTTTGATGAAAAAACATTTTTTGAGTTTCAGTTCTAAGTATGGGGAGCCCCCAATATTTATTATTATTTTTTTATTTTTGCATCAAAATCTTAATGCGGTTTACAGAATACATCTACCTACCAAGTTTCAACAGTATAGCTCTTATAGTTTCGGAAAAAAATGGCTGTGACATACGGACGGACAGACGGATGGACGGACAGACAGACGCCGGCTAACCGGCGCCGGGTACCCGGTGGTGAAATGTATGGGCACGGAACATGTGAAAGCTACGTACCATGCCCATACACTACGACGTGTGAAAAAGGCCTAAGGGTTCCGTTTTTTGCCATTTGGCTACGGAACCCTAAAAAAGTGATTCTCATAACTTTAATTAATAAGAAAAATAAAAATAAACTTGCCGTTCCAAATCTCAGTCAGACTACATAAAGTAGGTAGGTCATTCTTGGGGAATAGTGTTAAAATGTTTGATAAAATACCACAATCTCATAAATTCAAAAATCCTTATAAAAAAATTATACTCTAAAGTAAACGATTATTTAAATGACAAGAGTGCGTGGATTGGCGAGCTAGGCAGGTAAGCCTAGCTCGCACTTATTGCGTGTCATCAAGTGTCATGTAAACTATAATCCCATCAAAAACAATACTTGTCAAAAAAACCAAGTCTCGCAACTCAGTTGTTCTACGGTAAAAAGTTGTGAGATCCATGTAATACCAAGTCCAGGCCAGGAAATCTTTAACGTTTTACATAAATTATTGACTTGGCCATCGCACTAAATAATTTAATTTACACGTGTTTTCATGCGATGGCCAAGTCAATATATTTATGTAAAACGTTAAAGATTTCCTGGCCTGGACTTGGTATTACATGGATCTCACAACTTTTTACCGTAGAACAACTGAGTTGCGAGACTTGGTTTTTTTGACAAGTATTGTTTTTGATGGGATCTCATTTCTTTTTGTATTTTGTAGACAGCAGTTATGTATCTAGAAAACTGGACCGAAATTGAAAAATTTTACTCGATTTGGCGGTTGCACTACCGTGCCCCCAGATCTCATTTCTTTTTGTATTTTGTAGACAGCAGTTATGTATCTAGAAAACTGGACCGAAAATGAAAAATTTTACTCGACTTGGCGGTTGCACTACCGTGCCCCCAAATATTTTAGTTTTTCCTTGATTCATACACCAAACACTACTTATATTCCAAATTTGAAGCTTCTAGGTCTGCTAGAAGTGCCTTAGAGTTTTGATGATCGGTGAGTCAGTCAGTGAGTCAGTCAGTGAGTCAGTGAGTGACAAAATTAAGTAACTTTGACCCGTTATAATTCTTAAACTACTGGTTCAAATTGAATGAAATTTGAAATATACCGTGTCTTTACAATGCCTGCATAGCTAATGAAAATTCAGCCTTCTAGTTTTATCCAGAACGAAGTTACAGGCGGTCGAAAATGGCCTGAATTGCTTCGAGAAAAGGATGGTACGGCCGTGCTCGACTTGGTGGGGGCACTGCCGTGCCCCCAGATTTACTGTATTTTATTGAAAAAGAGGCTGACAAAGGTGACTGCCAGCACCAGCCCATATGTTGTCCCGAAGTGGTGGTAGGGCAAGCTATATTTGGGACGTGTATAAGTGCCCTGGAAAGGGCCTATGTACTGAATAAAATATTTGAATTTTAAAAGCACGCACATTACAACGATTTGGTATCGGCCGATTTTTATACAAATTAGAAAACGACCAAACTATCGGCCGATATAAGGTCTGTAGTCGGTGAGGGCTATGTTTGCTCCCATTTTAAATAATTATACTTGACTGAAATCGAGTCCAGTCTGCCAAATGCCTAGCTCAAGAAACGTACTTTCACCGGCACCGACTCCAAAAATATCAATCGTGGTCATAATATTTGTGCTATTAAATAAAAAAACTTTTTCAACTTTTTAGTGGATTTTTTGGAGTCAGTTTTTTCCTAAGCGCAGACCACCGATTTATTATAGTTTAGTCGGGCAGTTAATGTATGGGCATGTATGGAAGTGCGCATATTACACCGATTTGGTATCGGCCGATTCTTCATACAAATTGAAATCGGGCCCAACTATCGGCCAACTAAAAATCGGTGGTCTGCGCCTAGGTTTTGCATTCGGTTTTTTTATTCAAAAACTTTACACTAGTTTTCGTATAAACTTATCAAAAGGGAACAAAAGTACTCCAATTTTAATAATACAAGATAATCAAACTTACTTACTTATAGTAAATCCAAATTTTTTTTCACACTAGTTTTTTGTTTCAAAAGTACAACCTTATCAAAAGGCATGCGTCTACTGTACTGGTTTTAAGCGATTCGGTGACGAAGTTGTCTCGTTTTGGAAACTAGGTGTCAAGGGCATACTTGTAAATTGCTAGTTGATGATTCTCAAACTTTTGTTTTGAGGGGCCCAAGTCACGTGCCCAGAATGCACCAAGAAAACTAGACAATCAACATCATCATTTCAGCTGTGGGATATGATGGTCATTCACAATAAGGAAGCTAAGGTGTTAGTGCTTCCTTCCGAGCGGGTGTTGTGCTCGGGGACCAAGGTCCAATTTACACCATCTTGGTTTGTCTATAATAGAACTTGGCAGGGTTTGTATATGTATAGTTGTATATCTCCGAGTGGTCAGTGGCAGTGCAAAAAACTGTCACTGTAAAATAAAAGATGGCGTGGTCGAAGATGGACTCTGCACGCATAGCAGACGGTCTGCGCATAGGTGGAACATGTCGGGAAAGGCCTCGCTACACCGGCTCCCACCTGTGCTCAGCGAGACGGAGATGGTGGATTTTTAGTGGGTAGGCCCCTTCCTTCTGGAGGGGAGAGCCCCACATAACCCGCCGCCTGACCACAGCGGCGGGTATGCAACTCAATGCATTTTTACCAGCGAAAAAAAAAAAAAAGGGTAGAAAACTCCGACACCGCGATTCAGGATTGTACACGAGGTGGAGTATGCCATAGTGAGGTCGTAACAGCGCGGCAGCGCCATCTGTTGGGACACTAGTTTATAGTGGCGTATCGTAGATGTCGCCACATCAGCCATAGGACGTCCACTGCTGAACATAGGCCTCTCCCAAATCCCAATGAACTCCATCTTGCCCGGTTGGTAGCGGCCTCCACTCCAGAAACTTTTGCTGCCCCATCGGCCGTCAGTTCTGCGTACTTTATGCCCTGCCCATTGTCACTTCGCTTCACCTAGAATGCGCATATAACTTAGTCAGTGTTTGAGGTATGGGAGGCCCGATGTGCACGGGAGGGGTGACAAAAATAGCAAAACTCGATATCCTGAAATTCTTGAAAATTACGAGGAAATGGCGCGTGAGTGGCCATTTTTTTAAATACAAAATAATACAAAAAAGGAACCTAAGTATATTTTATATAAAAAGCTTCATGCAATTTTCATGCATTAGTCTCGTCACGAATGATGCTTTTTGTATATTTTTTTACCAATAATTTAACCTACTTCTTTAGATACTTTTGGACTCCGGTCTAGTACACTTTTGGCATCAGTGAGTTAATTTTATTTTGCTGTTAAAAACATACTTAAAAATTTAAATGTTCTAGGTAATTACAAACTGTTATAACCTAACCACCAAATGTGATGTGAAGGTAAAATGAAGGTAAAAATAAAACCCACAATACAATTTGAACATAAATCTATTTGTACAAAAAATGTATACAAATACTTTTCTTTTTGTGATACAAGTATGTTTGTGTTTATATCCGTTATATGTCCAATGTATGTACCTAGTATACATATAGGTACGTAAACTCTGCTTAGTTTGGGACTGGGAACAAAACTACACGTACACAATACATTCTTTCATCATCATCATCATTTCAGCCATAGGACGTCCACTGCTGAACATAGGCCTCCCCCAATGCTTTCCATGTTGATCGATTGGTAGCGGCCTGCGTCCAGCGTTTCCCTGCTACCTTTACGATGTCGTCGGTCCACCTTGTAGGTGGACGTCCCACGCTGCGTTTTCCGGTACGCGGCCTCCATTCCAGAACCTTTCTGCCCCATCGGCCGTCAGTTCTGCGTACTATGTGCCCTGCCCATTGCCACTTCAGCTTGCTGATCCGTCGGGCTATGTCGTGTATGTATGTAATAAAAGTAAATTGAGATGGTAAAATAGAGACGTCATTGAAAGTAAATTCGTAGCTCGTGAACAAGTAGTCACTACTCACGTGTCACGAGAATAAGTATAATGTGTCATGTTCCTGATGAATTTACACATGCTTTCCGATCAGACGTGTCGACTCACCAACGTACGTTACGAGTCACGTGTTTTTGCTTATTGCCACAAAATAACACCACAATTACCATTTTGTACTTGATATTTCCAAGTTATAGCTAACTCGCGGCTTCGCCCGCGTGGAATTTTGTCTGTGACAGAAAAACTTTATCGCGCGCGTCCTGTTTCAAAAACCGGGATAAAAACTATCCTATGTCCTTTCCCGGGACTCAAACTATCTCTATGCCAAATTTCATTAAAATCGGTTCTGTGGTTTAGGCGTGAAAGCGACACAGACAGACAGACAGAGTTACTTTCGCATTTATAATATTAGTAATAAGTAATAGTATAGATTTCATCACGTAACTAACCCATTTATATTACAAAATGTGTGTCATTGTTTCAAAATGGCCTCTTTTTATACCTTTGACCTGATTGTTTAGTTTTAGTTGATTAGTGGAACAATTAAAATGAAGACTTTTATTTTTGTAGCACTCTCTTTAGTGTGCCTGTCACAGGTAGAATATTTTAAACTTTCGTAGTCACTAACATAATTATTATTATTGACGGATTGCTATCATGTACCTTAATTTCGAGTTTCCGATATTTCGGCACTGTTGCAAGTTGTTGGAAACTCGAAATTAAGGTACATGGTAGCAATCCCTTTGGTTGTAAATACTAAGGGAATCAGGCAGCTGACATATTTTTTTCATCATCGTCATCATTTCAGGCTGAAGACATCCTGAACATAATATTTACCTTCCCCAATGATTTCTATATTAGCCGGTAGTGCGGCCTGCATCCAGCGCCTTCCTGCTACCTTTATGATGTCGTCGGTTCACCTCATTAGTGGACGTCCCGGTACTTTTTATAAACACTGTGATTATAATAATATTATTTTACATAGAGAACACTCAAAACCTAACAGATTTTATGTCAGGCGCGATTTATATTTTGGGTATCCCTCATCCACTTTATTATACATACTTTATCATACACTAGCCGCCGCCCGTAACTTCGTACGCGTGGACCCCTTTTTACCCCCTTAGGGGTGGAGTTTCGTATAATCCTTTCTTAGCGGATGCCTACGTCATAACATCTACCTGCATGCCAAAGTTCAGCCTTATCTGTCCAGTGGTTTGATCTGTGCGTTGATAGATCACTCAGTCAGTCAGTCACCTTTGAGTTATACTATAAATTTAGAACATCCTAACCATATTTTACTATTCCAGACAGTCTTCGCCACCTGCCCTTGCGTGAAGAACATGCTGAACCAGGACCTCAGCCGTTTCTCCACCAAACCAGCCCAATCCTTCGCCACCAGTTCAGCCACCAGTTATGCCAGCAGTGGTGCTGGTGTCCCAAGCTTCACCCCTGTCCAGAACCCTGGGTACAACTATGGGCTACTCAATGGGGGACTGGGATTGTCCTTGAATGCGGCAGGACGACTTGGTCTGAATCTTTGAGGTTCAAAAAGAAAGGAATAAATGATGTGGAATAAATGGCGTTTGATATAATGTTTGGATTTTGATTTATTTTTTAAAACACTGCTACTCATATTAGTGCACACTTCACTAAAACTAGTACCCCATCATGAGGTCATGCTACCTATGTAGCACTAACACTGATTATTCCAATATACAACTTCTAAAAAACTTTTTAGAGCTTTAAACATTGGGTTTGTTTTCTATTAGCTGCACAATTAGATTCTTAGAAACTTAAGAATTAATAAATATGTGGAGATCCGCAGGAGAACCAAAGTGACCGACATAGCTCGCAGAATTGCTAAAATCAACTGGTAGTGGGCGGGGCACATAGCTCGTAGAGACGATGGCCGTTGGGGCAGAAAAGTTCTCGAGTGGCGACCACGGGCTGGAAGACGTAGCGTGGGCAGGTCTCCTACTAGGTGGACCGACGATCTGGTAAAGGTCGCGGGAAGAGCCTGGATGCGGGCAGCGCAGGACCGTGCATTGTGGAAAACCTTGGAGGAGGCCTTTGTTCAGGAGTGGACGTCATTTGGCTGAAACGAACGAACGAAAAAGTACGTAATTTGACTAGTGAGTCAACCCGAACATCCATATAGGCACCTATCTATACATAATTATGTATAGGGCTCATAGACATGGCATAAATATTATGTAGCTTTTCAACTTTTCAAATCACTTACACTACTGAGAATAATAGGCGGAAACAAATCAGTCACCACTGTCAGTCTTTTACTTGTTACAAAAAATGATGTTTACAAAACAAAAATGTTAAAACTGCGTAATGAATGATCTAGGCATGTAAGGTCAATGACATTTAAGGGAAGAAAAAACAGAAAGCACAAATTCAATTAAAGTTCTTTAATACATAATACCACGTCAGTAGTAGATGTTACGACGGCCAAAACCCTCGCTAGTGATGCCAACCTTTCCGCTACCGCATCCACAAGTGGCAACACCAGACCCAGCAGTGGGCAGGGCGCCTTCGAAGGTGTTAACTACTTCGATAGCTTATCCGAATATGAGTTCCCCAGTGTCGTCTAGGCACAACACAATCAACAAAACACAGAAACAATCGAACAGGTACCTTGTCTGCCGCCGCGCTGCTGGTAGGTACTCTGTAGGACGCCGCCGGCCGGTAGTTAGGGCTTCGCCCGGTGTCTTCGGTGGTTCACTTGAGTCACTAACTACAAGCAAAGTACGGTGGAGGCCTCACACACAAAACATTTCCAAAAAGTCACCAATTTCACATTTCCGTTGGAGCACACAATAAGCGTGGCACTCGCGATGCCGGCCCAAACGCGAGAGAGCGCGTTGCATAGTTTTCGTTCGTTTGCCGTCGTGGAGCGCGGCGCTGCTGTAGTCGCGCGCGCTCGCCGTGTAAGTTTTGGCGGGACGGAGTTGGCGGCAGATTTAAATAGGTCCCGCGCAATCGTACCGTGCTCATTGAAAGCATGTGTGCCTGAACAGAAGGCCACAGCGCTCACCGGTCACGGATCGGAATGGCAGCTGACCGGTCACCAGCAGGTTTCCTTGGATGGCGTTCTCAGAAGCGACGGCAA